GCCCTCGCCTTTCCATTTGCTCACAGGGCAATGCTAGCATTGTGGTTCTGCCTCACATGATAATTTACCCTTAAAATACATGAATTTGATTAAGCTGGTGCTTCTTCCAGAGTCCTCACAAGAACTTCTTACTCTCACTCACTGAGCAAGACACAAAGTGGAGATCGGAAAGCCCCATGGGGTGTACTTTTTGCAGGCTGGTACCTTTTGGAAAAACAGGTTACAGCAGCATGTCTCAAAGCATGGTCCACAGCCTACCTGTGTCAGGAACACCTGGAATCTGTGTGTGCCAAGATGACCACTCCTGGACCCCCTCCCTGAGTATAAAGATTGGTAGATTGTGTCAACTTGAGAAGTTTGGTAGTTTAATTCAGCTGGAAGCCAGGGTCCTTACTTTGCCAACATCCTCAAGCTGTGCAAGAGGAGGGCAGGGAGATGGTGTAAGTGCTACACCCCCTGGGGGTGGCTAACCTGCTTACAATATAAGGAAGAAAATGAGGCTTGTTCTCACCCTTTTTGCTGTTGCTGCTTTTGCTTTCTTCTGCGACCTTGAATTGTCCCCCTGTGCCATGCCACCCTCCTTGGAGCGAGCCGATTATGGGCTGAAACCTTCACAAACTGTGAGCTAAATAAACCTTTCCTTCCTGAATTTTAGGTGTTGGGTATTTTGTCTTAGCAACAAGAGAAAAGTAACCAAGACACTGAGACATTCAGATCTAGATTCTCGTGGGGAAGGGCCTAGGAATCTGCCTCTCACTTTAAAAGTCCTCTGGGAATTCCACAGCAAGCCAGCATTCCAAAGCTGCATAGCTGAGGCACAGGTCTTCTCGAAGCCCCCACCTGCAATGCATGTGCTACTGCTCTGTCTGGAGGCCAGGCCAGGAACATGACATCATTCCTGTTCTGCAAATGTTCTCCTGTCCCAAACTACGCACCAGAGAATACCAATTCACAAAGACTGGGTCCCTTTTCATAGCTGGGCTACCTGTAAAGTCTGGTCCTTTCTGGCCTGGTACCCCTCCCAGAGCCCAGAGAAACCACGTTAGACAGAACAGGCATGCATGCAGCTGAGGAGGGGTCAAGTGAAGTGGCCCTGAGCTCTCAAAAAACTGCTTGTGGTCTGGTTCAAATAGACAAGGCAAGACCAGCCAACCAGACAAGGCACTGGCTCCCAAGAAGGTCTGGAGTGTTGTGAAGCTTGGCAAGGTTAAGCATGGCCCTCCGATGATGGAGCAGACGGAATGGCATCCCTAGGCTACTGAACTGCATACTGCAGAAGGTACAGTCAGGGCTGACATCTGATCCAGAAAGTACTTTATTTCTGCAGCAAGCTCAGAGCTCTCCCCGGACAAAAAATAATTTATCTTTATCCCGATACTTTAAAATGCAGACCTCAAACTCCCACTCAAGACTAAGAAAATTGGGCCTCCTGGGGTAGGAGCCCAGCATCCCTGAATGAATCTGTCAAAAGGTCTGAATCTACTGCGCTCCAGACAGCATCTTTCTATGTCCCCTGAAGATTTAAAGCTCCCCCCCCCCGCAAAAAAAAAACCGGTAAATGTGGAACATACTTTCCATGGCAAAGAAATTCTGATGGTTGGAAGTTATCCCGACTGTCTAAAACATCTCTAGCCCTCATGCTAAGATGGACAGTTCTCTGAATTTCTGCATCAAGAAAGCAGACAAGTGTGGCTCAGTTGCAGCTGAACTCCCACACCCTCAGAGAGAAGCTGGGGCACAGAGGGAACAGATCTCATTTGGGAGGTCAGCAGAGCTCTGTGCTTCAGCCCCAGGTTCTTGCATTTGACTTTGTCTTTCACCTTGTGCCAGGGCCTGTGATTACCTCCTAGTGGGTACACCTCAGTTCAGCACTGTACCCGGGATTCTGACCCCATGTCTGATATTCCCTCTGCTCAGAGGACAGGGAGTGAGACACAAGATGCTTCCACCCTGCACTTCTCAACTCCACACATGAAGCACCTGTATATCTTGATAAAAGGGAAAGCCATGGGTCTCGGTGAAGCCGAAGATCCTGCACACTCCTAGGACATTTCCAGGTTCCAATATGCAGTTTTTAAAAATCCATAGCAATGAGGTGAAGAAGGCCCTGGTTATTTGTGATAAGAACAGGACTCTGCCATCTGCTAGAGAGATTGTTTCCAAGCCCCCACACTCCTCAGGGGCACCTGTCTCCCTCTGGGGATATGGGGTGGACTGAGCAGGTAGCTGGGTAGATCTTTTCACTCAATGCAGCAACCCTGTGACCCTGATGCCACAGCCCAGCCCCGGGAGCTGAAGATAGGGAGCTGCATCCTCATTAATCCAGGTCAGATGTCATTTTCTCTGGCCTCCACATGCAGAAAAAACAGGGTGTGCGGTCTGCCAAAAGAGGGAGCAGAGGCTATGCCGCCCATGGCAACACTGTGTGACTCTCCACAGTGCATGACTCCGGGTCCAACCTGTGCTGGCTATATGTGATTGTCATTCCCTCGAGGACATCAGGGATTCTGTGTTCTACTTGCCTAGCTCAGCCTGGTGAAACGCTAGGTCTGGATCTGATCGAACCACATGCTGCCCAGCTCCGGCGAGACACAGCTGCTTGATTTAGAATCTCCTCCCCGTGGTCCTGGGCAGGTGCACATTTTCCCATGGAGCTGAAATGTACTTTGTTACTGGGCGGGGAGCCTGTGGCACAGCCTGGCAGACATGGCAGCTTCCCAGGTCCTCCAGACATTGCCCTGCACCAGGCCAGTGCCAGCACCTTGTCCAATTTCCTTTCCCAGCTCGGTACACACTCCTCCCAAACAAGCTCAACTTAGCTCAGTCCTGAAAGATGTCTCGGAACAACTTAACCTCACCTTGCATACTCTGCAAAGACTTCATCTAAATATTCAGTGGCTAATACGCATTCTATTCTCCATTAAGGAGTAACAGTTTCTTGAGTTCTAAGCTTCAGGTGGCCTTAGATATATTCTGTCCCAATAGCAATCGTTTTAAAGACAGAATGAAAGAGAAGCTAATCGAAAATATTAGAGTGTGTTTCACGTAACAAGGGCAACTAGCATTTCATGAAACCTTTCAGCCTCCCCCCACACACTTACCAGATAGATGAAAGACAGACAGACAGATAAGTACATAGGTAGGTAGATAGGTAGATGATAGATAGATAGGTAGACAGAGATTATAAAGTGAAATGTGTTTCCTCTGGTAAGTCACAAACAAAGTCTGAAAAAAACCAATGCCATTCACTTCTGTGGTCAGCAAAGAAAATAAGGCACAGAGCGGTAAGGCAAGATTTCCGAGGTCACACAGCTCACCAGTAGCTGTGTCCAGCTAGGAACCCCAGGTCTATCTGTCTTCTCCAAGGCTCTGCTCTCCAGCCCCTGCAGTTCTCTGGTTCTGTGCCCAGACAGCACCGCTGCAGTGACACTGGCAGAGCCGTCAGCTGGGTTCGCAGCCAGGAACCGGCTTGACTGGCTGACTTGAGGCAGGTGCGGCAGGCAGGGACATCCACCGGGAAAGAACTCAGAGGCCAAAGGTTTGGTAAAGGTAGTTCCGCGCAAGAGCCAAGACTGGCCTTGACTCTCGTCTCAAGACCTTTTAAAACAGTTACTAAATGCGGGAAAAGCACTTCTGGGCTCTCTCAGAGGGACGTGGAGCCAGGCTCTGCGGCTCACCCTCTCCCCGAAGGAGGGCAGAGGACAGCAGCGCCCTCCTCCGGGCGCGCAGCCGCAGGCTTCGCAGAGTCCTCCGGGACTCACCGCCGGGTTTGAGGGGACTGAGGGTCGGGCGGGGTCAACAACTAATCTAGCCTCCTCGCCTCTCAGAGGCAAAGCCAGGCTCAGAGAGGCCGAGACTGGAATAGGGTCACTGTCCATGGCGCCTGACTCCCAGCCTCGGCTGCTCAGGTCACCCGGATGTCTTGTTAAAATCACTCAGATGCTAGCAAGGCTTCCGCGTGTTAAAAACAAAGCTCCCAGATGGCTTGTTAAAATGCAGTCATGGGGCCTGATGAGGCCTGAGTCTCTAGGGCATATACAGCTGCTACCCTTGCTGCTGACCCACTACCACACTTCTTCACCTTGCTGTCTAGAAAGATAAAAGGAGCTTTAACCTCTACCTGTGTCAAGACTCTAACCTTCTGCTTGCGCTAGATAAATCCTCCACAACTAACAAAGACCCTTAGTTAAGGCAATTACTATTCTTTTGACATTCATTGATTATTTGTATGTGAGCAATGTTCCCAACACCTGGCACAATCACATATACTGCTCAGAACTCTGTGAGAGACAGTATTGTAGACAAGGAAACCGAGGCTCAGACAGCTGAGGTAATTTGGCTTAAGTTGTGCAGCCAGTAAGTAACAGAACCGAGGGTCAAACTCAGTTCTGCCTGATTCCATGGCTCACTTGGCTACAGCTGCATCCAGGAGTTCCTCTCGCCCTGTCTTTTTCCAAGCCCTGGGTGCTTCTCCACAGCGCTGTAACCGTCCTCCAGCCACAGTGTGATCTCCAGCACTACTGGCCTCAACTTCTGCAGAATGCAGAAGAGCCCTGGGCCCTGAGCACAGTGAGAGCCTATCTGGAGTCGGGAGAGGCCCGGAATGCTGGGGCTTCCTGCCCAGAGGTCCTGGTCACCAGGCTCTGCTTGCTAGCTCTGCCACTTGGAAAGTGTGTGTTCTGAAGTATGTTACCTAACCTTTTTGTACTTTGATTTCCTCATCTAAGAAATATGGGCAACACTAGATCGTCCGTATCCCCAAGGGTTGCTGTGAGACTCAAAGGAGCTAGCACATACACAGTATTCAGAACAGCACCCAGCTGTACTTAGTGCATGTGACAAGGCTTCAGAGTGGACAGAATATGAAAGCCACAGGGCCCTGCCCCACTTGGGCGGACAGTGATAAGAAGGAGTCACACAATATTTTGGGGGAAATGTAAGAGAAAATGTTTCTGGTCTCCACATACAGGTACAGAGAGCCGCTGAGACAGGGTACCCACTTTTTTAGGGCGCATTCCAGTTCGTTCTTCTCTTCATGGGCTTCTTGGAGCTGGGAGAAAATTCTAGTCAGGAAATCTTCGAAGCTGGACAGCAGGTGAGGTTCCTCTTTCTTCAGCTGCAGCCAGAGTTGCTTGACATCGCTTTCACTGGGAGAGAAGGAGGAATTACGTGGGAGTGGAGAATGAGGTTCGATGGGAAGTGAGTAGTCAGAAACAGCATTACCTCAAGCACCATAAGGCCGTTGTTTATCAAGTGTCTGATGTATGTGACCTGCTTTATGTCAGTTCATTGGCCCTCAGTAACTTTGGGAGCTGGTTACCCTGTCGCAGATGAGGATCCAGGGGGACATGGTCACTCTTGGGACTAATGGAGTTGGGTCACACTCCAGGTGAGCTGACTCCATCAGCCTTCTAACTCACTTCACTCCACAGTTTCTGTTCTCTGTATCACTCTAGGAGGGCAAGGGTGCTGAGTACACACAGCAAAGCACCCACAGCATCACAAAACAAGCATGTCACAACACCAGGAAGAAGAGAGAAGGCTTGGAGCCAGGTCAGGAGGGAGACAAAGGCTGCATCGCTAAAGGAGAGAGCTGTCACCCAAAGGATGGTCCTCACCACTAAGAGGCAGGCATGCCATTAGATGAGTAGCCGGATGCAGCTGTCACTGAGGGGAAGGGAAGGGAGTATGCCACACCCACAGAGGTCTGGTGGTGCAGGGCGTGACTAGCAGGTGCCAGGAAGGGAAGAAGCAACTCTGAATGATATGGGTGCACAGAGGGAAAGACAAGCGGAAATTGGAGGACTTGGAGGCAGGCAGAGACAAGATACAAAGTGACAGGTCCAGAAGCATCCCCAAAGAACAGGCACACGGAGCCTGCAGAACAGCAGAGGCTGAGGGCCTCCGTGATCACGGAGGGACCGTGGACAGAAGCAGCAGCTGGAGATCTGCTCTCCTTTCCCCAACTCAGAAATCTACACCAGCGATCAAACTAAGTCACACATAAATCTGATTTGTCCCCCACTGAATTCTCAAACAGATATGATCTGAGACCAGCTATGACCAGGGCCCCTCAAGATAGAGTATAATCTTTCATGCTTATGTAATAAGTGCTATATTTCAAAAACTCTCTTTGGAAGTAATATTTGCTAGGCCCATGCTATCAGTGCTTGGGGCACAGATATTACTGTCTGTATTCAGCAGACAAGAAGCCCATAGAGAAATGAATCCAACTGTGGTATCTGATCACCTAGTGTCTTTCCTCTCTCCTCCCTCCCTCTGATCCTTGCTCCTTTGCTTCCTTCCTTCTTTGTTGCCATCCTACCCAAACATCCACCTACTCATTGAGACCATCCAGCTATCCAGCCATCCTTTCATCCACCCATCCACTCATTCACCCAACAAGTATGGATGATCAACTATGATAACCCTAGTACTGTACCAAATTACATCAGGGAATCCGGGAACAAGAGAAGGGGTGGAGGCAACTTCTGTCTCCCCGAGAGAGTTCCATTTTCCTCACACAAACCACGCTGTGAGTGTTCTCCCTGGAGTGGGTTGTGCCATGTAAGTGGCACAAAGGGTGCGGAGATTATGGGGCCTCAGAGAGACACTCTAATGACCTCTTGTTCCTGGGGTGGCCACTCCTACTGTGGTCCAAATGCTTACAACCTACCCTAATTCTTATGTTGAAACGCTGGCCCACAAGATGATAGTGTGAGGAGGTGGGTCCCTGGAGGGTGAGAAGGTCATGAAGGCAGAGCCCTCACTGATAGGATTAGTGCCCTTGTAAAAGAGGCCCGAGCTCACCTTTTCCACCCTAAGAACAGACAGGGAGAAGATAACTGTTTGTGAACCAGGAAAAGTAACCTCACCAGATACCAAAGCTGCTGACTTCCCAGCTTCCAGAATTTTAGAAACCAACTTCTGCCATGTAGAAGGTACCCAGTCAATGGGAGCTCATTACAGCAGCCCAAGTGGACTGGGACACTTCCTCATGATGTGCATGCATCATGAACTGAAGGTCCACCTTGCTGGGCTAGGTTGATGTCTACTTTTGCCATGTCTTGCCACATCACCTCATCTCAGACTTCTGGAGAAGGGCCAGGTCTTTCAACTTTTGATGAAAAATCAGCCAAAGTCCACTAACATGACAAGTCACTCAGCCAATCAGACTGCTAAAAAAAGTTGGGAGTCCAGATGTTCAGTCTACAACTTCGGGACATGTCAGGGCTACCCCTCTTGGAAGGATGCAGGAGTACAGGGTACAAAGGATACTGAGCAGTCAGTCCTTCCATCTCTCTTCTTCAAAAATAGCACACAAATCAATCTGATGAGCACAATTTCCAGACACCTCTGAAGTCTTCACTCTTGAGAAGCTTCTTCTCTTGTCTTTATCTGGGGGTCCTTTGGTCAAGGCTGGTTCCCTCATGGCACAGTGTGAGCCCTTATCAGTGAGAAGAAACTTTCTGGCCACCACCTTCTGTAATCAGCTCTCAGAGATGACTCTCAAAACCTCTCCCAAAGCTTTCATTTTCTGGATAGCTCATTGGCTCAGTTCTGCACAGTTTTTTTTTTTTTTTAATTCCAATGATTTATTTATTTATTTTTATTTTAGAAATTAAAGGAGGAAAATACTAACAGACCGACAACATTTTACAAAATAGCATAGGATCAGTACAGACATTACAGAGTTACAAACAGAGTGGTAGGGAATTAACAACTGCACAGGTTTTTGATACAGGTCCTCAGAGCAGTGGCTGGTGAACTGTGACTTGAAATTCCTGCTGGGAAGCTGACTGCCCTAAGAGGGGCTGAGGGGCAAGGCCTTCTCCTTCGTGGCAGTGCCCTGGCTTGTCCACTGAACTGCCCTCTCCTCCCTCCCCCCAGCAGCAGGCTTCACTGGGTCCCTGGCAGCATCGCTGTGCCCTGGCCTCTTATCCTACCTGGAGATGAGTCAGCAATCCAACCAGTGAGCTTCCCCTGATAGCAGCCTGTGTCCCTGGCACAACATGTACCAGCCCCTTCCAGACCAGCAGAGCAGCTGCTCTTGCCATTGGTACTGGTAACAAGCTTCAAGACCCTTCCCTCTAGGGGCCCCCAGGCTCCCTCCAGGCCTTGGCCAGGACCCTTCTTGCTTGGTGCACACTTTCCTACCAGACTGTTTGCTGACAGAAGCACACAGCTTTGGCTGTGTATTGTGTACAGGCTCCTTCTGCGTGGCTTCTTTTTCAGTTCTCACCATGGTCCTCTTCCCAAGCTCAAGAAACAGCAGCTCCAATCATGAGGTTATTCCCACAATGCATGAAACCTCAGACCCAACCCTAGACCCAGAGACCAAAAATGACCAAGATAAAGATGACAGGCAAAGGGGCAAAAGTGCTCCACGCTGTCCAGCCCAGCATCTTGTTTCTACCAGTGGTAGCATCACATTGTACTATTTTGCTTTATTTTCTTACTTGATTTTAAGTGCCAGGGCTCGAGTCCGTGAGTCTCTGTACTCCAAATCACTTCTAGGGGGAAATGCAGGTGTATTGTTTTATTGAAGTTCAGCCGTCTAAACTGTTCAGCTGAGCCACTGAGGTTCCAAGCTGCAGGCTGGTAAAACTGATTAATTTCCCAGCTGCTGCTCCTGACCGAGTTCAGTTTGCACAGAGACTGGCTATGCACAGGCTTCTGCCAGGGGGTCCTCTGCCAGGTACAGCCTGCAAGGGAGCTGGATGCACTGTGCACTGAGCTTGGAGACTGGGGCCAGCTCGCCCACCACAGGTGGGAATGCAATGATCTGACGGTGCAGGAAGCCAAGGGAAGAACTCACCACAAAGTCTGAGTTGGACACAGCCTGATATGAGAGCAGTCTCGGAGGTGAGGCAGCCCTGAGGTTTGTGGTGATAACACAGAGCAGGGAGAGGACAGGATGGGAGAGGAGGAGAAGAGGAGGGTCTGCCAAAGGAAAAATTAAGTGCAGAGACAGAGCCTGACACATGACAGGTTCAGCAAAGGGCAGATGGTAGAAAGCAGGGTCCTCTCTCCAGCACCAAGCATGGAGCCAGCACTTCGGGTTTGGCATGAGCTGAGAGTGGGGCAATAGGCAGGCTGGGATCGTCCCCGAGTCCCATCACCACTTACTCCTCCAACACCTTCTGTGCTCCGAGTTTGTCCATCAGCACCTGGAACTGGGCTTCCTCCTCCTGGTCCACATGCCCAGCGTCCCCGTCTCCTCCGGACTGGTACACCTGCTCATGTGCATCCTCCTGACTTGAGTTACTATGGCTGAAGAAGTGGCCTGGGGTGCCAAGCACAGAGATCTGAATCACACAGTCCCCACCCAGAAAGAGCTTAGCCTCTGCTATTGGTGGGAACTGCCTGAGGTTCATCAGAAGGAAGCAAAAGGCACAAGTTGTAGCACACCATGGTCCAGATTTCGTATTGTTTGCATGTCTATAAGCATTCTGCAGAGATGCTAAAGCCTGGGAAAGACAGGCAGCATGATAGATACGAGGGCTCCTTTGTAGTCCTGACTCAGAACACAGCATTTCCCTGATTTCTATGGTCTCCTGCAGCCAGCTGCCTGTGCTCTGTGCTGTTACCCCGCTGCCCAACCCTTCTACTTCATGGATGAATCACTTCCTTCACACTCAGGCTACCTGGTGTACAGAAACATGTCTTATCCTAAGAGCCAGGAAAGGTACCAGAAACTTCTGCTAAAACTATACAGTCTCTCACAGGAAGCCAGTACACAGGATGGATCTCAGCTCTGCTTCCCCTGGTTACCCTGAGTACAAATGCTTTATTCAAAACTTCTAAAACTTTCTTTAACAGCTGGTCTCCCTCAACTCTGAGACTTGGCCAGGCTCAGGCTGGAATGAGCCATCAGTCATCTCACTTTTCTTGTGAAGGACAGGAAAGCTTGGAGGATGTGGTCCACAGACCTGGAGAGGCTGGGAATGCAGCTCATACAGCTACAGGTACACCATCACCTCAGGTCCCCAGCACCCAGCAGCACTTACTAAATCCAGTAGCGAACTCCTCTGGGGTCAGAAAACCATTGCTGTCAGCATCTAGGGCATCGAACACATCCTCCAGGTCCTGCAGGCTGAGGGGCAACTCTTCATGGAGCCTCTGAAAGCAATGCAGACTCGCTGGTTAAGGTTGCTTGGTCCCAGGGGCTGGCCTGGGGCTCAGAGCCATCTGTCAAAAGACATCTGGAGGGGGCTGGGGATTTAGCTCAGCGGCAAAGTGCCTGCCTGGCAAGTGCAAGGTCGTGAGTTCGGTTCCTGGTACCGGAGAAAAACAAACAAACAAACAAACAAACAAAAAAAGACATCTGGAGTTTGGCCCATGCCTACAAAACCCAGGGGTGAGCTTCTGCACACACACTGCCTTACCATCGCCCTCTCCCTTGCACATTAGGACAGATTCTATTGACTGGGTGCTGACTGATATGTTAGACAAGTCACTAGATGGTTTATAGGTAAATATATGAATGTGCGTACATGTACATACGTATGTATCATTCCATCTATCATGACGACCTTTTGAGGTAGGCACTGTTACCCCCACTTTACAGACAAAGCCTGAGGTTAAATCGCCCATCCCAAGGTTGAACAATGACACAGCCAGGGGCAAACCTGGGTCTCACTGCAAGGCATCCTGGTCCTCAGCATCTACAATGGGTCAAGCCTGCACAGGAAGGAGCCCCTGGGGAAAGAACTGCATGGCAGGTGTTGGGCAGTTCCAGATCACAGGGATAAACAGAGGATACCATGAGGAAGGAGGGATAATGGGGGAGGAAAAAGTGTCGCTGAGCCATAAGACACTCGGTGAGGGAACACAGAGCCGAACTCCCCTGCCCTGCAAGAGCACCTCCCCTCTGCCAGGCTGAGTTGCCGCTGCCCTTGCCCTGGCAGGTGGCTTCTCTCGCCCCCAGGCTCTTTTCCTGACAGAGACCCCATACTGTCAGCACTGCTGTGTAGGCACCCATGGACCGCCCTGAGTCCGCCTCCAAGTGCTCCAAATTCCTCACCCCATCTGGAACCCACTCCTGTCCCTTCCCAGCCAGCCACCAATTCCTGCTAAGTTAATCTCCAGTGGCATTGGGTATCAGCACCCCCAGGGCTTAAAGGGGGCTGAGAAGAAGGTACACAAGGTCATAAATAAGCATGGACCTCAAGGAGAGGGAAGGGCAGGGGGGCAAAAGGGCTGAGCTCTTGCTGGAGGGTGCTCCAGCCTTCTCCCTGATGGGCAGACGAGGCAAATGTGCACCTCTGCTGCAAGTGCCCTCTTCTACCCTAGTTCTCTGTGTTCAGAGGGGAGCGCCCCAAGGGACTTCATTATGTCTCAGGCCACTGTTCCTCTTCCTGCCAGTAAACAAAGGGATGAGGGATGGCACAAAGCTGCCCCTACAGAAATGACTGATGGCTGAAGACTATGGAGAAAGGCATCTATCTGCCCATCTGAGCAATCAAAGAGCCCTCAACATCACTGGCAAGAACACCAGGCTTGATCCTGCAGCCATCTTCCAGATGGTAAGCTAGAGTTTAATGTGGTACACCCTGCATTAAAGGAGCACGGGGTGCGTTATGGAGTCGGGGGAGAGGCTGAAGTGCAAGCCACTTGGAAGGACTGAATTAAATGTGAATACAAGGAAAGCAGGTGTATGCAGAGACCTTCAACGTGTGTCTGTTTGGCATCTCTGGCTTATCAACATCCACAAACCAGCTGTCTCAAAAGCCACAGGAAAAACATGGGCAGAGAGGAAGTCAGTTTTGCAAGCCGGAAGTTAACTAGCTCCACTGGAAATGAGGGCATCATGCTAGAGGTAGGATGAACCCCAAGCTTCAGTCACACCCGGGGATTCCAGTCCTTTCCTTAGGATGAAACTTCCTCCCTCCTCCCCCTCATCAGGATTGCTGGATCTGATGAAAATGTGCTATCTTATGTAATACTGGAGCTAGGAATGAACTGGAAGTGATTCCACAAGCCAGTGGGACCCCCAGCCTGCCTCTCACTCAATCCGCCCCACACATGGGCACCCTCTCCCCTGCTAGCATGAACCCGAGAAAACTACTGCAGATCTCACCATCGCCACGTTCCTGAATCTAACAAGTCTGACCATAAATCTTTCCCCCTGTGTAATCGCCATCTCCCCATTTCCTCTTTCTGTTGGCAGTGAAGATGGGGAAAGCTGCACTGTCTTCCCAGTAATTCTCACTCTTCCTGTCCTGCAACTCTGCGCACTGCCTTTTTTGCAAGCTGCACTACTCCAGATTCTTTCATCTTTTTCTGTTGGCCCTACTTAAAAAGTATTTTAGCTTTAATAACCGTAATTATCTCTTATTTATCTTTCTTCTCAGGGCTTGCAGTGCCATGCAAAATCAATTTATTCTGGTCTGGTCCCCTGGGCCTCTGCTGCTGTCTACATTTTTAACTGAGATAAGTAGGGTGGAGGGGAACAAGATTATTTATTCCACTGGGCTGGTGGGGCTCTGAGATTTGCCTGCAGTGGAGTGGAGACCAGAGTAGGGAGAAAGAGCTGGTTTCCCACTTGGGATGTGAAGAACGATCTAGCGGTCTCCCAGTGTATTTGTCCTCCAGTGTCCTCACCTCTGTTACCTGTCCATACCTACCCTTATCACACCAGGCAAATGTGCACCTCTGCTGCAAGTGCCCTCTTCTTCCAGGGTCCCTCTTGCCAGCCCACCTTTGCACACATCCAGGGAGTAGGCAGGGGAAAAGAAGAGAGATGGGAAGAAGGCTGCGTGTCTGCCTCTTGTCTGAGGCTGTGGGCTCCTTGACACACCAGCCTCTCCACTCCATCTCCAACCCTGGATTCCTCCTCCACTCTCTGCTCCTCTATCACTTCCTGCACCTCCCCAGGGAAGTGCAATGCAGGGCACACAGGCTACCCAAACCTCAGTCTCTCCATCACAAGTCTTACCTCAACCTGAGTTTTTTAAGCCAAGAAATGCTAGTAGGTGGTGAATGTCCCCTGCCTCAGTGCCCTGAGACCAGGGCCCTCAGTCATTTTCACTCACTATCCTGCCCCCCTACTGGTATCCCCGTGCTGGCAAAATAGAATATTTAGGTATCTATTAAATGAGTAAATAAGTGGGTAAGTAAAAGTGGTGGTGGGAGATCTGCCATTCACACCTAGGGAGAGCTGGTGTAGACCTCAAAGGCTCCATATCCTGACCAGACTATCCGCTGACTTTCAGCAAGGTCTCACAAAATGGAACATGCAGGACCTGGAGCTGGATGCAATCCTGCTGCCATAGTACTGAGGGCAAAGGCTCTCGAGCCAGGACAAATGATGCCTTTTGTTGTGCTCCGCCAAGATTCCTGTGTCCTCCTGGTCACTGACTGGGCCAGGAACACACCTCATGTAGCGTAAAGTACATGGCTGTGCCACCTATAACATGCTCAAGCAAAACTTCCATTAAAAGGAAAACTAGAGGAGATGCATTTGCATGGCCAGACCTGAACCCTCCCTCCTGTGGGACCATCCATAGCTCAACCGTGCTAAGTATCTTTGGGAGAAGAGCAGGACTTTGGAAGGGCATAGGTACCTCTGTCTGCTTTGTGGCTTGATGTGCTTGGATTGGCCTAATCGCTTGATGTAGACCAAGGTTTCTCAACCTCTGTACTTCAGCACCCGGGACTGGACAATTCTTTGTTGGAGGACAGGGAAGGGAGGGGAAAGCAGGGGGCAGGGTGCCCTGTTCTTGCTAGGATACTCAGAAATAACCCTCACCTCTGCCTTCTAAATGCCAATAGCACCTTCCTTCTCTAACATTTCAATCAAAAATGTCCCCAGACACTATGAAATGTCCTCTGGCACAAAGTCACATAGCCTGGAGAAGAGAAGAAGCTGATGGAGGCAATGGGAAGGTGTCCTCCTCATGAGAAATGCTCTTTCTTTCTCAGACACAGGACATATGACACACCTAAAATCACACAGGATGGCATAGTCACCATGGAAAATGGGGTGATGGTTTCTCAAAAATTAGAAACAGAAATAATCTAGCAACTTTACACCTGGGTATGGATCTAAAAGAAGCAAAAGCAGGAACTTGAATTGGTATCTGCCCAATAGCAGTATTTTCCACAAATACCCCAGGGGTGGAAGCCACCAAAGAGTCCATCAACAGAAGGTGAAACAAAACATGGACAACACACATGCTGGCATATTTAGCCTTAAAGAGGAAGGAAGTCCTGACACATGCTGCAACACTGCTGAGTGCCGGACATTATGCTACGTGAAGTAAAGCCTGACACAGAAGGACAACAACTGTGTGATTCTACCATAAGAAGCATTCAGTGTAGTCAGATTCCTAGACGTAGAAAGCAGATGGTGGTTGCTCAAGGCTGGGTGAGGGATGAAAGGGAGACTTACTGTTTTGCAAGATGAAAAGAGCTCTGCAGATGGATGGTGGTGATGGATGCACAATGAATGAATGTGCATACCTCCAATGAACAGGTAAAAAATAGCTGTAATGGTAAATTATGTAAGGTATATCACGATTTTCAAAAATCACAGTGCACCCCCCCCACTAGGCTGAGAGATGGCATCTTCGCTGCATATTTATGGAGAGATTTCCAGGTCCAGGAGTTGGGCTTCAGTCTTCTGCATACAGCAGCTCATTTTACTCTCCTCTGCTGCTGGGAGGTGGCAAGGATGAACTCCAAGCCCAGGAACCATGGCCCAGGAGCTAGGAGACTTAACACAATTCACATCACCAGCAAGCGGCAGATCCTAAGTCAAATCCCAAGACAACCAACCACAAACATCTTCTTGTTACCCTAAAATCAGAAGTTGGCTAGTTCCTTCCATGAAGGGCCAGTGTCTGTCCTCTGGCCTATGTGGCAGTGACTCTGTCACCAGGGCTCAAGTCTGTCACTGAGGTGGAAAGGCAACCAGGGACAATGTGGAAATGAACAAGCACGGCCACGTTCCAATAAAGCTTTACTTACAAAAACAGGCTGTGGGCCAAATTTGGTCAGCTTGCCAACCCCTAAAAGAATTCTCAATGGTCTGGCTTAGCCAGGAGCTCTAGGAAGGATTGGGGATGCAGATAATGGAGCTGGTGTTGGCAGACAATCATTTTACTCATCAAAAAAAAAAAAAAAAAAAAATCAGGAAACAGGGTTTCTGAGGCTGTACGTTTCTTCAGAGAGACCTTCTGCCCATTCTTCCCCCGCTGCCAGCTCATGGAGTCCTTTGCTGCTCCGCTAGCCTGACCCTCTCTGTGCATCCTTCTTTCCCTGTGAGGGAAGGCTGACTGTCACTTGGGGCACTCAGCCCCACAACTCAGCTCCTCTAGTGTACTGCACCAGACCCCACCCTGAAAGAACGCCTGCCCCAACTCTGCCTGGACAGGCCACCACAGCACCCAAAGGATGATGTGACCCCGAGGGCCCATCAGGGAGACTGCAGGCCCTACCCTGCCACACAAGCCTGTTCACACAGGTCAGCTTCCATCACCAGAGTCCCTGTGATGATGGTCCACACAGGGACCCAGCTCCTGCTGCCATCCTTCCCCCCAGCCCACTTCTGCTCCTCCAAGGAGCCACCATTTTAAAAGAGCCAGGACTAAGATGGGATGCAGCTTAGTGGTAATCTTGCCTAGAATGTGTGGCCCTGGGTTCCAACCTCCTCACCAAAACACATACACATAAATATCAATTTTATATGTGATCACCAAACCCTGCTCCTGCTGTGTGGCCTCTGCTTACCCCTGTGTCCTGCAGGGTTGGTTACATGGTGATGGGCTCAGACCCTCCCCTACCTCTAGGATGACTGCACAGTCAATCTTGCTATATGAAAATGTTTTTCTTTTTTTAAGAAAGAGAAAGAAAAAAAAGAGCCCCCCAGGAAGAGCTTACTTCTCATCTTTTCTTAAAACTACTGTAAGGTCTCCAGGATTTCTCCTCCCTCTCCCCCTCCCAGCTCCTACAGCCCCTTCCACTCAACCACAGCCATAAGACAAGGCAACTTCCCCCCTTCCAGACCCATGAGGGTGCACTGGGAGCTGAGGCCAAGGTGGTACCCAGGAGCTGGTCATTGTGTGCAGGAGGTGACCATACACAGAGCAGCTGTGCCTGGGACTGCGAGACAAGATGCCCTCGGATGTGCCCCAGGGACACCATGGGCCGAGTGCACTTTCCCGAGGCACCAGAGTAGGCTGTGACAGGACTGCTTTCTTCCTCAGCATCTCTTCCTGCAGACATGGCCATCAGAAATGACCAAAGGGAGGGAGCTTAGACAAAATGCTTGAAGCTCTTGAAAGCACTTTCTTGGCCTGAAGAGGAGACTTCAAACGCTCCGTTGCTCACAGATAACAGTAAATCCTCAGAGAATCAAACAGAGTAGAAATAAATGCCAACATCCTATCCATGGTGGCTCCCTCGTCCCCTTCTCCCCTGCCTGGTGTGGAGAAGGAAGGCTGAGGAAGGAAGGAGCTAAGCTGGAACCTTGGGGCTTCATGGGTTTGACTGCATTCCATGTCAAATCCAAATGACTTCTCTAAAAAAGGTAGCCTCAGCATCTTAAACTCGCTGAGTGTCGTCCTTCATTAAAGGTTTGGGGAGACGTAACCAGGCTATTCAGTAAGAGTGCCAACCTCCACTGCACATGTGGCCCAGAGTTGGTATGAATTCTCTTTGTTTTATTGGGGGCAGGGGATCAAATCTAAACATGCAAGGACCTGCGGTGCAGCTCAGTGGCAGCGCATGAGCCTCCCAGCATGTGGGAGGCTCTGGGCTCCACTCCCAGTGCCACAAGCAATCAGACCCACAAAAACAGCCACAAGCAGACCTACAGACCTGTGAATGAGTTAGGAGCCTAGGCAGAGGTCTGTCAAAGTTTCCTCAAAACATACCTTCCGCAGAGAGTGCAGGGATGTGGGGATGGGTTTCAGTGACTGAACCATCTAGGGTGTCAACTGCTGAAAACCAGGGTTGGGCTGAGCTAGTGCTGCTCCCACTGGCTCTTCCCTCCATTCACGCAGTGATAGGCAGTGGAACAACTCGGTGGAGAACACGTAAACCACATTCTGTGGGCCCAAGGAGAAGAACCCACACTTTATCTCCTCCGGGTCACCAGGCCATCTCACAGCTCCCACAGACAGACGAGCAGATGGTACTGATCAGTGTGCATGTTTCATTGTCTAACTCTAACGTACACTGAGAAAGTAAACTTAAAAAACGGGCCCTGTGTGCCATTCACTCACACACAAATGACACCGAGACTGCAGCTAAGACATGAGGAAGAAGTTTTTGACAGCTAAAGTGAAGGCCACGGACAGGGAGGGCAAACTAGGCTGGTGGACGAAGCCTGCTCTCATCCGTTTTCATTTTGTTTGTTTGTTTTTCTGGTACCTGGAATTGAACTCACGACCTTCCACTTGCCAGGCAGGCGCTGTGCCGCTGAGCTAAATCCCCAGCCCCTCATCCGTTTTCATATAGTCAATGAATAATGAACGGCTTTTATATTTTCAAATGATTGAAGAAATAGCGAAAGGGCACATCTGGTGACATGTGAAATTCTATAAAATTCAGATGTCGACGTCTAGGAGTGAAGTTTCCCAGGACCACAGGGTGCACAGTCCTGCTGTCCTCTCCCAGCCTTGCATCTGGGCCTGAGGCAGGTAAGTGACCTCCAGAAATGCCCTCCTCCCCTGTGGCACCCCTCTTCCCCTCCTGCAGCCACGTGGCAGAAGGAGCTTCATTATACCCTGGTGTCACTGTGAAGCCGTAGGTCAACGCCTCTCCACCTGTGGTTTCAGGCATTTCCTATCCTTGTCCTACCTAAGTCTCTTATGTCACTATCACCATTTCCCACAGCCCTGGGGAGTCACTGAGTCAGAGAAGCAAAACAATCCAAGACCAGCATCAGGTAAAGGCCAGACATGGAAGGAACCGAGGAGATTCTGGGTGCAGGACGGATGTGGTCCTTTCTATGAATAATGTCCCCGCACAGGGGAAGCATAAGCCTGAGACAAGGAGAGCCCTGTCGTCTGGTGCTCCTCACGCAGGCCCAGACCCTTCGTACCTGCATGTCGCTCCTGGCAATGAAGCCCTTGCCCTCCACGTCACAGGCCTGGAAGAACTCCTGTGCTTTCTTCAGCACAGCCAGCTGGCCGGCTACCTGCTCCTGGGCCAGGCAGGCCCCACTCTGCTTCAGGTCCCAGCCAGGACTCCCGGGCTGGGCGCCCTCCCTCCTGTCAGGGCAAGCCATCCAGATCTGTCAACTCCTTCCTCCTTTCAGAACCTAAATGAGGAAGATGGGAGAGAGGCCGTGTGATGGGGAGGGAGGGGCTGAAGGGAGTCAGAGGGCACACGACGAGGTGCAGTGCCACCCGCTGGTGCATCCTGACATTTCTCAGTAACCACCTCTGAATTAGTAGAAGCTCAGGGTGAGGGAAATGCGCCCTGGGTGCGGATAGATCAGTGGCCCATCAAAGGGGGAGAGGCAGAGTAGACTGACAGCAGACATTTCCAGATGGAAAGCAGGTGGGGTGGACCTGAAAACAATTTCTTCTAATGTAGGCAACCACGTGACAACTAAAACAGATCCTGATAAACCGGCTGCCACTTACGGTTTACATAGAGGCAGGCACTGTGCCGTGGCCTCCACATGTATCATCTGTGGAATTTTCACAACCCTATCAGATAGATATGGTCATCTCCATTTTGGAATAGTAGAATAGGTCTGTTTTACCAATGAGATGTTGGAGTTCAAAGAGGTTGCGACTTTCCCGATATTACACAGTAAGTGTAAAAGCTGAGATTAAATCCAAGCCCTTACAACATGTATGACATTGAGTCTTGATCCCACTCTGTCCACATTAACTGTGCAGCACAGCCTCGGGTGAGAGTGCTCCTCACTCAGACGCAGCCAGGTCTTGGGGAGCTGTTTCCCGATACTAAGACCCCCCTCCAGCAGGGCCTGAGCTCCGCAGTTCGTGCAGGGGAGGGGGCCCTCCTCCATAAGGAGCTCCCTGTGTGTGATGAACTGCTGACCAGGCTGGATTGGTGATACTCCAGGCTGTGTTCAGCCCAAACAAAATCACCAGTCGCACACCTAGTGCAGGTTCTGAAGACGCTTCTGGGAGGGTTTGCAGAAGGTGCTTGGCAGGTGACAGGAAGGCCACAGAACCTGGATTCCAAGCTGGACCCCTAGCTCTTCACATGGCCCTAAGCAAGTCACCAGCAGTCCTGGCCTTGGCTTCTGCATTGGCACATGAGAAGACTCCAGCCGTTTGTCTTTAACCCCCCTCCTAGCTCCGACAGTCTACTTTGGGGAATTTCAAAATTATAAAATGTTCTTAATGAAAAACTGAGTTAATGTGACAAAAGAAAATCATAACATACTTGAATTTTTCCATCTGAAGAATCTCTGGAGGTAGGAGTCTGGATGCTAAATATATGATAGCACTTAACCCTAAATATGCTCATAGCTGGAGAGCACGACACCCTGGATCCTATCTCCGGTGCTCATGGAAATGAAAAGGTGAGAAGTCACAATGACAAAACCGTCTATCAGATACATGTTTTGCAAATACTCTGTCCCTCTATAGCTTGCTTTTCTTTCTTTGATGATGACTTTCAAAGAGCAAAAGTTTTAAATTTTGGTAGAGTTCGATGTACCTGTTTTTAAAACTGTATTTTGCTATTGCTAGTGTACTCAAGAGATCGTGGCCTAAGGTAAGGTGGCAAAAATACTTAGTTCTTGGGGTTTTATATTTCAGGCTTTACACATCTGTCTCTGAGTTTCCAGATCACTCTTTTTCCTTCAAGATGGTTCTGTAAAGCCTTTATAGGAGGATGAAATTTACACAGCCCATAAGCACTTCTAGGAAGATTTCCCAGGTCTCCAGAGCAATCCTCACAGCTTCGCAACTGTGAAATCAGGAAGTTCACACAGAAAACTTAACTCCCTCCTATGGGTTCTGTGCAGTTTCCCCTTAATCCAGCTCAGTAGAGATGGGGAGCAGCTGATACCTCTTGCGCCACCACTCCTATGTCAACCTGAAGCAGCCACTAAATGCCTCTGCTCCCTTTCAGTCCCTCCTGCCACAGCCAGGAACCCCAAAGCTCCCAAAGCATCTCCAGGAACTGTTTGAGTCTCTTTAATTACCCACGCATCAATGGGAGCAATGCGCCCTGTGCAGCCATGCCCTGAAGTCTCAATGATCCATCCTGGGCTGGCAATGCCAAAGGATGGTGGGGACAGGCATGCCTTGGTCAGCTGCAGAGGGGGCAGAAGGGCAAAAGGTTTGCAAGGCAGCTCTAGTATGAATGGGTGCGGATGCTCATTACAGAAGGGGACACAGAGGACCCTTGGAAAGAGCAAACTTGGAAAGAATCAAGACTTCTTCAGGGAGGTGTAGCCTTTCCCTTGGGCTGCTGTGACAGAGGACCACAAGCTAGAAAACCGCTATTCACAGCTCTGGAAACTCAAAGTTGAAATCATGCCCCTCCAGTACTCTGGGCAATACCCTCTCTTCTTCCTGCCTCTTGGTAGTGGCGGTCCGAACTTGCTGTCCTCTGTTTACAGTTGCTTCTGTCCACCATTCTAGTCTCTGCCTCCGCTATCACATGTCCCCCACATCCCTTTCTCCTCTTAGGAGAACACTAGTCATCTTAGATTAAAGTCCACCCTAAAGACCTCCTCCTAGCTTGGATGGTCCTATCTGAAGAGACCCTATTTTTTTTGAGACAAGGTTTTGTTATGTAGTTCAGGCTGCCTTGAACTCCCTCTGTAGTCCAGGCTGGTGATCCTCTAGCCTCACCCTTCAGAGTGCTAGGACCAGTGTGCCTCATCACACCCAGCTGATCTTACACCAAAAGATTATACTGTGAGCCAGGCACACATGGTGCAGAAGTAAGTACAGGGCCAGGCTGAACTATGTAGTAAAATCCTGTCTCAAAAAAGAACAACAAATCATAGTATAAGGTGCTAAAGGTTAGGACTTCAGTGTATCTTTTTGGGTCACACAAACAAGTGGTGTCCAAGAAGGGCCTGTGACAAAGATTTGAGTGGCAGTGGGGAAACCCTGGCCAGTGAGTGGGGAGTGAAACAGAAAAGGGAAGGTGGTCAGTAAAGGGGGCCAAGCCAGTGGCGACCAGACAGCTGAGGCGGGATCCCGGAGCTCTATAACCCTGGAGAGCCCCACAACTTGTGCAGAGCACAGGGCTCTGTCACCTGCCCTAGAGGTGACAGGCTGCAGAATTTACACACATCACCCTGCTGTCACTGGTGAGGGCTGCTATGGTGGCTGAGTCCACAGATCCCTGCCTGTTATGCACTTTGGCTCTGCAGAAATCCTAGAGGCAGACATGGACACTGGCGGTTGGATGTTGCCGGAGCACAAGGACATGTTCAAGCCCTGGCAATGTGTGCAGGGCACTGACAGCAGGCCACAGGGACATGCAGTAAGGAAGACTGTCCCTATTTCAGCTGCATGAAGGCGACACAGCAGAATGCTAAGAGTCAAACTATCCTAGGTTCAAATCCTAGCTTGACCGCCTCCTAGTTGTATGACACTGAGGGAGTTAAGCAACTTCTCTTGGGTTCAGTTTCCTCCCCTGTAAAATGCAGAAGACAGTGTCTACCTCATCTGAGGACTAAATAAGCAAAGCCTTTAGAAACTACGCCTGGCACTTAGTAAGCAGTCGATAAACATTAGCTCTTATGATTACTTCTAAGGCACTCCCGGAATTACCCTTTTCAGTTCACAATTCTGTTAGCAATATGCCTCCTTGGGAATTGGTGAAACAATGAAATAAGGAAAGACACACTCATATCCATATCAATCGCCTTGTGAAATTTAAAAAGGAATCACTTCAACCATGTCAACTAGCATTTCATTCCCAACTCTGAAAACGCCTTAGAAGTAATGGTAAGAACTAGCCTTTATCATGTGCCCAGCAGAGTTCCTCGGTACCGTCTATGCTTCAAATTGCCTGTCCCCACTGGAAGTAGGCACTGCCTTCTGCTTGTTATATATGGGGAAACTGAGGCCTTGTGAGGTTACCAAACTCACGAAATATCACAGAGTGGAGCTTTCATGTCAGGACTTTCATGTCAGGACTTTCCCCCTTCAGTAATGAGAATCTTAGCGTCCAAGAATTAAATAACCTACCCAGTATCTTGAGCCAAACAAGGCTGGGAGTCAAATTTCCCACTAAAGAGAAGAGAAAAATATCAGGTGCAGAATGGAGCTGCACTGGTTTTGAGACTACAGAGGGAAGATTTTGGGTTCCTTCACCTTCTTGTCAGAACATGGCACAGGCCCTCTCCCCTGTCACTGTTACAGATGCGTCACATTCCCCATCTTAGTCCATCTCCTCTAAGGGGCCTTGCGGACCAGCCGGGCTGCCCACTTAGGCTTTCTGAACCTCTGAGCTCCGTTGACTCTTTGGTGTGCCCCGTACTAGGACATACTGCTTTGTCTGGCTGCTTAGATTTTTCAAGTGCCTAAGATGTATCTTATGTCTTCCTCAAAGGCAAAAAGGCTGCATTTCAGTAAGTCTTAGTAGGTATGAAACTGACATTTATCATTCAAATGACGAACACCCCACCAATTCCCAGCCTCGTTCCTTGTATATAATAGGTTCTCAATGGATGCGTATTAGCTTGTTAGGGGGATCATTGGGAGTGAGCGCCGAGACTGGAATGAAGAAAAATGTATTTGATCTCTGTACCTGATTCCTGGTCCAGAGCCCCTAAATTCCCTGGAGTTCCCCTGTGGTGGAAGTGTCTTCTTAGTCATTAAAAGCCCCTGTTAGCTGTAACTGAGTCTGTGCCAGTGAGGTAAATGCTGCCACCCCTGGACAGATGAGGGTTGCTGCCAGAGAAAGCAACAAGTGATTAGAGGTTTAGAGGGTTCAGCCCTGCCCTGACCTCCAAGGAGGAGAGGGGCTGCAGCTTGAGGTCACTTATCACTAATCCCTGAGTAGTGGCCTTGGAGGGCTTCATGGCACCCAAAGAGATCAAGGACACCCGATGCCAAGCCCTCCCCTCCCCTGCCCTGTGCGTCCTGTGAAGGAACATCCAGCTCTTCTTCAGTCATGTCCCAGGTGATAAGTCAGTGCGAGTCCACAGTGCTTTCCTTGGTTCTGTGGGCCGTCCTACCCCCTATCAGTTCCGAGGAGTGGGTCAAGGAAATTCTGCCTTCAAAGCTGCTGGATTAGAAGGTGGTGGGAACCAGACTTGGGACTCGTATGTGATGTGGGTGCCCATAACTTTTGAGATCTTCACTGACTCTGGAGACATCAGAATCAGAATGAATTCTAAGATACACACTTGGTGTCAGAGAGAACAAATGGTGCAATATTTAATAACCAATTCAGGAAGGTGAGGACGGAATTCCTGATGTGTAGCATCTACATCTGATGGCGTTAATATTCCCATGGGATCAATGTCAATACCAGCTTACCAGCTATCATGTGACTCTCATGTTCCTATCTTGAATATCATGATGGGGGGGGTGATCCCCAGCACTGTTAGCAAAGGCCTCCAGAGCTCACACATCTTTGGACTCCAGAGCCCCCACCCTAAATGATAAGGCAGGACCCATTATTAAACCTATCTTAAACCAGAGTTGTGCCCACCTCTGCCTCCCCTCCACTGTTCATGGGCCTGGGCAGATTCTCCAGTGGGACCAGAAGATGAGGCAGAGAGAAAGATCCTTTCAGTGAGGAGCAGAGATGGGAGCTGCTCCTTCACAGACCCTTCCCACCCAAAACACACTGCTAAAGGCAAGGCACACAGCCCAAGAACCAAGGCTGAAGAAATAAGATTTTCCCTAATCCAGACAAGACTGTTACTTACTTTGACACACAGCAGAGGGAGAGTTTAGACTCTTTCTCTGATGGGCCTCTTGCAATGGTGGATTACAGCTCAACTGCAAGGCTTGTGTCACAAGCTGTGCAACTGCAGATCAGTACCCAGAGGTCTCTGAGACTCTCTTGTGAAATGAAGGCCCAGGGTAGTTAGCACCTTATGAGTGTTAGCTGTTATTATTATTTTAACCATTTATTATTATCATTATTATTATTATTATTATTACTGAAATCAAATTGGCTCCCCTACTCCAGATTATATTTAAACAAAACTAACAAAAGAGCACAAGCCACAAGGCTACATGAAGATATAGACACAAGAGGCTCATAAATCTACTACTGAAAAAGGGACTTCCTGGGACAGTGACTCTGTACAGGTATGACAAGGGTCCTCTTTCTACTCTGCAGCCTGCCAGGCTGGTGCAGTGCTTCATCCGGCATCCTTTCTCCTCAAATCAGGCCCAATTTCCTTGTTCTGGCCTCTAGGGAAGCAGAGAACAGCTGTATCTTACCTCTACAAAACAACTCTTCCAGGTCGGGATGACTGGTATTAAACATGTGCCTCCTCACTCTTGTTCTATTAGAAGCTACATGAAAGGCCCTTGCTAATGGTTTGAGGTCTCTATGAAACGGCTGCTGGTCACCCTAATTCCTCTAATAATTACTGGTTGTAAACCACTTTGAAGATAAAAGACATTTTGTAGGAGCTAAGTCATGTTATGATTAGCTTTCCAATACTTCCTTGCTGAAGCTGATGAGCACATCAAAGCCAAACACAGCCACAGCATGGTGCCTAGTAGTTAATTAGAAGTATTTCAAGGCGGCCGCTATGTATTAAAGAAACTGCTGCAAAATTTATCAACTTTAGAAAAGTATCTGCTCTCTTCCTAATATGAGCAAGCTCATTTCAAAGGCTATCAGCACTGATGCCTGCAAGACTGGAGCCCCAGAGGCCCAATAACGAGGATACACGCTGGGCCAGGAAGGGGAAGAAACAATCCCAGCACCTAGCTTCACAAGACATCTTAGCTGTCAACACCGTTCTGTGTGCCAGGCCTCATTTTGTTTTGTTTTCACAATCATGCCGTGATATAAGCAGGTAAAGTAACTGCTTCTGCTCCATAGAGGAAGAAGTTATGTAAGATCATGGGCTTCAAGGCATTTACGTTAGTGTGGTGCAGTTGACACAATTAAGGCTGCAGATGTGTTATCGAGGCGATCTCATCGATGCTCTCCAGCTACTCTAAACGCTGTGTGCTTTCCCTGAGCTTCTGTGTGCTTTTGCTCCTCTGTTTCTGCACTGTGCCTCTTGGAAGGCAGACCCTTGGGCTACTAGAGCCACTCTGCCAACAGGGTTAGAGCCACAAGTGCCTGGAAATTTCCTGACCTTTCCAAATAGCTAGTGATGAACTGGTGTGGAAGCATGAGAGCTGAGGACCCCGGCTCCAGTGGGGACAAAGTCCGAGTTGTGATTTATTCTCCAGACAGAGGCTCCAGTCTATCCGGTTTTTTTTCTTCTGCCCATTCTGCTCCCTCCCAGCCTTCTCCTGGAAGCACTTCCTGTTCAGGTCATCCATTCGTGAATCTTCCCCTCAGGGTCAGTTTCCAGACACCTGTCCTCAGACAGCTCTCTTGACTCAGTCCTGATGAGAACATTTCACATATTTTTATGGAATCTATTCCCTTAGCTCCAAATCTTCCTTTCCAAGAATCCAACCCTAAATATTTGTTCTGTGTCCAGCCCTATGCTCTACACTTAGCTCTGTATTCTTGGAAGTTCCTCTTTTCCTCAGATCACCATGCTTCTATTTCTAGGAAAACAAACTTTTGCTTTCTCCCCAGCCAGGGGCACTGGACCAGGCAGATGCCATGTGAGAGGCAGATGTGCATTTAAGGCCCTTATTTCCTTGGTGAATTTTCAATCTAGCAAGGGAACAAGATACAAAGAATGGAAACAAAGGATGTAATAAGAGCCCCAAATATATATGGAATGAAAACCATAGAAGCAAGTCACTCTCAGGGTGGTACCCAAAAGAAAGCCACTAGCCATTAGTTCTGCCTGTCATTTGACTGTGGATCACCTCCTTAATTTTTGAATCAGAAGCTACTCTCAAATGGCTAAAACATGAAAGTCAGCTGCATCCGAGATAATCCAAATGAGCAGGCAATCCAATTAGGAGCTTTAGTTTAAATCGGGTTTATAACATTATTCCTTTGACAGTAGCACCTTGGAAGCTGCTCTACAAAATTTAATTCTGAGAAATTAAATTTGTCCTGGGAAAACAGCTGATCAGGGCCAGTGTTTGGATTCAATCTTAAGTTTACGTGACTCTTTAAAATGTCAATTTCTTTATCTGTAAAATAGAGCTAACTAGGCTTACTTTGCAGAATTATTGTGAGGACTAAACAAACATAATGCGTACAGCCTACCAAAAGTACCTGGTACCTAAGCCCTGTGAAGGAGGAAATTCTTACTGTCATTCCCAAATGAGCCAAAGAGCATCCCTGTGGATCATGTGCTGGAGGCCTGGTCTCCAAAGTAATGGCACTGAAAAGTAGTGGGAACCCTAAGATGCAAGGGCTAGTGGGAGCTGAAGGGATTAACGGCCCTCGGAGTCACCTGGGCCTTGCAGGAATGGCTCCATCTCCTGTGAATGGTTTATTGTAGAAGAGTGAGCCCCATCTCTCCCCCTCATGTTCCTATCACTCAATGCTTTCTGCCAAGAGGCCCTGCTAGAAGCCAATCACCTGCCATGCCCTGGAAACTCCAGAACTATGCACTAAATAAACTTCTTTCCCTTATAAGAAATGCAGCCTCAAGTATTTTATTATAGCAACAAAACACACTAGGACAGGTATTTTATACACATGTTTGAAAAGGTATTAATATATCTTACCAAACTGATTTCCAGAAAATAGCTAAATAAACCCACAACAACACTGTCAAGGAGATCTATCTAAAATACAGACCTGACTGTTGCTTTCAGGACAAAATGTCAACACACCATGACCACTTCTGCTGCCATGTGCCATCCCCCTTCCCGTCCCCCTCCCTTCTGGATCATTTCCTGTTCCCTCACTCTTTTGTGCCTTGGCATCTCCCATCTGGTGTTCCCTCTCCTTTGTCTAGGCAAAGTTTCACTCAGAGTCATGTCTTAGTCCCACTAGGCTGACATAGCAAAGTGAATTGAATGGCCCATAAACTGCAGAAATGTCTCCCTCACAGACTGGAAGACCAAGATTGGGACCAGCATGCTTAGATTTTAGTGAGAGAGCTCTTTTGAGGGGCATGCTCCTGACTTCTGCACCGTTGTCACACACAGAGGGAAAACAGAGGCTCTGGAGCCTACTTTACCAGGCACTAATCCCATGTAGCTGAGTCACCCTGTGATCTTTCATAAGCCCCATTTCTTAATACCATGTGCCTGGAGGTTAGAGTTCAACACTCACATTTTGCTCAGTCCACAGCATTCTGTTCCTGATCCCCCAAGCTCTGCCAAATGTTCTTCTCACATGCAAAATATACTCATCCCATCCCAGCAGCACAAACATCTGTGCTCACTCCAACACCAACTCAGTCTGATGAATTCAGTTCTCTAGTGTAAGAACTCTCTCTGCCAATCCTTCTGCACAGTTAGCCATCCACATCCCCAGTTCTCCACCAGATCAACCAACTAAGGACAGAAAAATCACAAAAACAAAAAACCTGTGTGTACTGAATATGTAGAGATAGTTTTGCTCATTACTCCTTCAACAGTGCAGAATAACAACCATTTACATTGTTAAGTATTATAAGCTGTTCAGACATGGTTACAACTACATGAGAGGGTTATGTGTAATGCTGGGCCATTTTACATTAGGGAACTGAGCATACACACATTTGGTATCTGCATAAGGCCAGGGTCCTGGAACCACTCCCTGCTGATACAAGGGACCAAAACCAGCAGCAATGGCCCCAACCCATGCATGGCCTGAAGTTGAGGGGCCCAAGGAGAAAGCTCAAGGGCACCAGGTCTGTGTGTCTTTGTCACCTCACTCACCTGTAGCTCACAGCTCTCAGGACTTCCCATCTGGAGGGTGCTTTTGCTACTAGTGATTTGAATCCCACCAAGAAAACCAAAGATGACTCACCTTAGCTACCACTGGGGACAGCTTCTGGCAATTTGGTAAAAGGTGGAGAGATGCATCCCTGTTAGAGGCTGCAAATGTCCCAGAAGAAAACAGGTCTAGTCCCCTGCTCTTTCAAGCTGTGAAGAGGAAGCAGGAAGATGCAGGGTTAACATTGGTGAGTCTGCTTAGCAACCCCAAACCAAGAGCCTGTGGCCAGCCTGGTAGGACCAGGCTGTTGTATGTGAGAAGACAGAAGCCTCAGGACTAACTGGAACCCCTGCCTAGAAGCCCCAGCAATCCACAAGCCTGCACCATCACTGCACACCTCTGAAGACAAAGGTTCACAATTGTGGCCAGACAGTAACACATGATTTCCAAGAAAACCCAAGGACCCCACCAGGACAGCCAGCTTCAAAGCGCTTGCTATGGCTTGGTCATGGTTGTCCCACAAATGTTGGAAACTTGGTCCCCATGATGGTGATGCTAAGAGGTGCTTGGGACCCTTAAGTGGTGGAGACCAGTGAGATGTCCCTGGGGTACTGGATAGAGGCTGCCCTTGTGGGACCTTGAGCTAGTTCTAGGGCAGCGAGTTGTGAGAGCCAGCCTGACCCCTGAATGGCTCTCTGGCTTGTCCTGCCTTGCAATCTCTTGCATTCTCACACATACCTCTCAATGATGCCAGCTTCCACCATGAGACCCAGGCAGGGGCACCCTACCAGAGCCAACACTATGTGCCTTGGGAACCTCTAAATCTCTCCTTTGTAAAGTATGCAGCCTTCCCGTGTTTTGTTATAACAGAAAATCAACCAATAGAGTGCCAGAAGAGGAACAGACTTCGGGACAGAGAGAGGATGGATCCCTTTGCCTAAAGCAGTTTGGAAGTGTCAGGATCTTGGAGAGGAGCTTTGCAGAATGTGCTGGTCACATGCTAAGCAGCATGGTCTGAGAGCAGATGGGACACAACTGGAGACAGCAGTAGTAATTAGAATTATCTATCATACTTTACACTAAGGCAAAAGATTCTCCTGCAACTAGATCTGGGAGCCCAGGTGCACATTATGAACAAGGCTAGCCTTCCTGGAGCCACACACGTACAGCTCAGCTGAGGCAAGTATGCATCAGGCACCTCCAGTTCTTAGCAGCACATGTCTGCAGCACATAATGTTCACATTCCTTATGTGGTGTTGCTACATGTACACAACACATCTTAATTCCTTTTCATCTGCTTTCCATCACCTCCCTCCTCCCTCCATTTCTTGATCCCCTTCTCATTTGAGAAAATCTATCTCTCCTATTTCCCATTTTTTTATTTTGCTCTTTATTTATAATTTGGGCTTATCATATAAGAGAAACCATACAATATTAAAGCTTGTGCATCTGATTTATTTCACTTAACATTATGGTCTCAAAGTGCATCCTATACAAGGTAACACAGAATTTACCAGTTCATTTGTTTATTCAATTAATACTCAGTGCAAACACTCTTTTAGGTGCCAGTGAGTTAGTAACAGGTAATTTCAGCAGGCTTTTGTCTTGTGGAGCTTACACTGGTGGGAAAGACAAGCAATCAACACAAAGATTCAGTAAGCACTTTCAGACACTGAAAAGATAAAGGACGATACCCCTTCTCTAAACCACCTACAGGTCCCACCCAGCTCCCTGCCCCACTGGCACTGCTACCAGGGTGCTGGGGGCAACCGTCACAGGAGGCTCTGCTCTCTAATGGCTCCCAGTCAGCAGCTTTTGCAAAGCCGGGGAAGCTCAGAGAAAGGGAGCAAGGCTGACACCTGGAAAATTTATTTAGGAAAAAATACATACTTTTGATTATAGTACTTCTAAATGGTAATCTTAAGAGATGATTTTCATTTTCTGCTCAATTTTCTAATATTTCTGTTGTTACAAGTAGAAGGGGAAAAACATGTTTTTAAGGGAGAAGATGGGTTTACATAAATTAAATTAATAAATACATTTGGACAAGTGGGCAAAGAGCAGGTCTTAGAGGAGGGGTAACATCTTCTTATGTTGTTTTATGGTTTTTCCAAGCAATTTCACAAAAATATCTCCTTCAGTTATTATAAGACTTTCTCAAGGTTACACAGAAAATAAACCCTGATGCAGAGAAACAATACTCAAGTCCCTGGAAATGTGTTTCCCATTATTCCACAGCCTGTTTGTAGCTGATCTCACTTCTTTTCACCACTGAAGCCTTCAGAAAGCTGCCACACACCCCAGGTCCCCTGCTAGCCTCCCCCTCCCTTCACCTCCTCTGGTGGCCAAGCTGATTGTCTCATGCACATGTCCATGGAACCAGCGCTTACCATGCACCTGTCAGATGCCAGGCATTATTCAGCTACTGCAGTAAAAGAGAAGGACAAGGTGATATTCAAGAGCTCAGCCTTGGAGAGGGCTGATTTGGACTGAGGCACTACCCTCTACTCAATAACCTGCCATGTGCTGTCACTGATTCCAACTCAGGCACATCTGACAGATATTCTAGGATGGAGACTGCCATGACCAGAGACTGGCCAGATTCTCAAAGATCAGTGGTGTGAACCTACTGCACATGTGTGCAGTGGGCACACAGAGCCCTTTCTGTCAGCATGCAAGTAGTCATGCCATCAGCTGAGTATTGGATAACAGGGCTTTTTTTCCTAAACTAAAACCTCAATATTCAGGTTTAATTGCTGTGATGGCACTCTGAGATACATAAGTGGGCTCTGGATTGCAGTTGGGGTACTTGGCCTCTAAAAGGTTCTCCATCACTGATCTAGATGGAGAGACAGCAGGTAAAGTTGGATGCAAGGTCAGTACAAACACTACGTGCACCTGCAGTCAGGATACAGTCCTTTGCAGCCCTCTCTGGAACAAGGTGGGGCCCACCAGTCACATTGTCAGAGATGTCCCAGATCTACTCTTGATGGTCTCCAGGACAGGCCATCAAATGCTGGGAGAGAAAGAAACAAAGAAGCTGACAGTCAAGGAATTCAGCTTCAGTGGCTGACTGGGGGCAGAGAAGTCCACACACAAGGCTTTCAGGTGGAGAGCACAGGAACTGGTCAGGTCAGGACCGGCTTCTGCAGAGGAGGTGGGACTCTCAGTGGGCCTTGGAAAGGGAAATGGCTTTGGATGCTCTGCGTGGTGATCCCATATAGCAAGGCCACAGGCAAGACCTAGGGAGACTGCAGAATAGTCTGTGGGTCCTCTCTCTTCTGGACACTGGTGGCTGGATGCCTGCCTTGTCAGTTGGCTGAGTCTTTGCAGGGAGATGGCTGGGTCCTGAATCCTGTCTTCAGGTTTTTTTCATTTTCCTTTGTTTCTTTCTGTAGTGGGTGTTAAACTCTGGATCTTCAAGGTAGCACACACCTATAATCTCAGCACTTGGAAGGCTGAAGCAGCAGGATTGATGCAAATTTGAGGCCAGCAGGGGCTACGTAGTGAGTCAGAGGTCAGCCTGAACTACATAGCAAGACCCTGTCTCAAAAAAACAAAAACAAGGAGCTAGGGATTTAGCTCAGCGGCAAAAGCGCCTGCCTGGCAAGCGCAAGGTCGTGAGTTCGGTTCCCGGTACCGGAGAAAAAAAACAAAAAAAAAAAAAAAAAAAGAAAAGAAAACAAAAACACAGCTCAGGGCTTTCACACTAAACTACATGTCTGTCCCTTTCTGGACAGGGTCTCTCTAAGTCACTAAGTTGTCCAGGTCTGGTTTAAACTTTCGATCTTCCTGCCTCAGCCTCTCAGAGTTCTGGCATCACAGGTATGCATGACCACATGTGCAGGTTTCTGGGTGTCTCTCCAATATGGTCTGAGGAGCCAGGAGTGCTGCTAGCCATCAAAAGCTGAGCATGGGGACTGATGCCTGTCCACACAGGCCAGCCAGTGCTAAAGACACCTGGCCATTCAGTGCACCTGCACTTTGGGTTTTTAACCACAGAATCTCCATAAGCAAAGCTCAGAAATGTCCAGGTAGTGGGACAGAAAACTCAGCTCTGGTTATAGGCTTAGTGCCACTTGATGCTGCATGGACTGCCCCGCAACCTGGGCCACAGCGAGCTTCCAAGACACAACATACACAGAACAACAGCAGTGATGACCACATGATGATGATGGCTAACGTCCAGGTGGAATCTTACAGCCTATCAAGATGTTTGTAATCTACCCTGTTGTTTGTGAGTTAATAAACATGCAACAGTATTACATGTTTATAGGTAAATGGTCACACCTAGAGACCATACTCATATGTGAAATAAATCAGACCTGCATATGTAAGCAACGTATTGTCTCACTAGTGTAAGGCCTGAAAGAGTGAATAAAAACCAGGAGATATGAAAGATATTGTGAACCAAAAGAAAAATGCTGAAAAGTAAAGGGCCACTGGGGTGTGGGAAAAGAGAAGGGAAAGAAAGGGAAATTATTTATGTATGTATATACAGGATAGCTAACATAGTTGTACTACTGTCCTCTATTGTTTTACTGAAAGGAACAGTTAATGATTACTTGTTTGATCAATCCTGCATGTCTCTATTTATTTCCCTGAGAAACCACCTTGAAGATATCAATATGTAATGCAACAATCATTGCTAATTTCTTACCATTTTGTAACTCTGTATTGTTTGTATTGATCTTATGCTATTTTGTAAAAGGATGTCTGTTTGTTAATATGTTTTCCTTCTTTTATTTTTTAAAATAAAATTTTAAAAAAACAGTATTATATGGCTTAGAAAGATTGTGCTATCTTGCTTGTAATGAGCATGCATCCATAGTGACAGATCCTACCGGACAGCTGTTGGAGGGCTGGGCTGGGGTGCCGGATATCTCGCACGCAGGCCTCCATGTGACACTCTGGCACAAGGTTTTGGCTCTAGATGGCCCTGAGTTCAACTCCCAGGTCTGCCACTCCCCACCATTGTGATCCTCAGCAAATCATCTAACCTTTCTGAGCCTGGCTGCTGGTATGTTAAATATGGATTTAAAAAAAAGTACTTCTCATAAAGTCACTGTGAAGATGGTAAGATACAGAGCACATGAAGTACTTGGGATGCAGCCTGGCCCACACTTCACCCTCCTTCGTGTAATCATTATTATTGTTGTTGTTGCCGCTGCTGGTCTGCTGTTAATAGCGTAGCACTCCTAACGACTAGGTCAGACTCTGTTGTACAGTGTATTAGGTAGCTTTTTGTTCTATGACATACTACTGAGAGAAGCAACTCAGAGAAAGAAAGATTTACTCTGGCTCACAGTTTGAGGGCTTTCAGTCCATGCCCAGCTTGCTCTGAGGCACAAGCATAAATACCAGAGCAATCTGGTGAAGGAAGGCTGCTCACCCCGTGGTGGCCAGGGAGCAGTCAACAGGGGAACAGCCAAGAAGGAAGGGGCTGAACCCAGATATACACCTGACCTACCCCAGAAGCCACCTCCCTCAGTGAGGCCCCACCTCCCAGTGAACCCACGAAGCTATGACTCCCTGATAGACTTCCCACCTGATGAGGCTGGAGCTCTCAAGATCCAACCACCTCCCAGGTACCTTCTTATCCTATCACATTGAAGATTAACTGCCACCCAGAGGTGTTCTCCCTCTTTCTGCATGAATCGGCATGCTTGAGTGGGGTAGGACTGAGCCCTGGGGGGGGGGGCTCTCTGTGGCTGGCAAGGAAGTACTTCCTACTGTGGTATGGGTGGCATTTTGCCCTGAGCCCTGGACTATCACTGTCCAACGAGCTGCCTGAGCCTACTGAGCACTTGAAATGAGGCCCCACGTCCTAAAGAAGGAACGCAAAATAGCTCATGAACAGTTTTTTAATGATTAAAAACATCTCATGCTGAAATGATACTATGCTGGGTATACCAGGTTAAATTACATGTTATTAAAATCAATTCCTTCTGGTTTTTTTTTAACCATTTTTCACATAGCTACTAGCAAGTTACACATGTGGCTCAGGCTGCATTCCTGTTGCCCAGTGTTGGATTTAAGCTCCATGAAGGTAGGGACTTGGTCTCCTCAGCCTGCTGCTTTGCCCCAGCTAGAACTGTAGGTAAATGAGTGAGTGAGCTGGGTGTCTGAGGCTGCAGGCAGGCTTTACAAGGAGCCAATGTCACTTAGCAGACAGGGGTGACTCTTGGGCGCTTTGTATTTTGTACAGATGAGGAAAGGGAGGTTAAAGAACTAAAAATCTGTCCCCAAACAGCCAGAGTTCAAGCCAAGTGCATCCCACACCTGTGCTCTTTCTACTAACTCCCTTTCCTTCCAACAGGAAACCTACAGTTGCAGAAAGAAAAATAGATTTGGGGAGTTTGTTTGAACATTTTAAACATACTCCCTCAAGTTACCATTTATGTCCTCATCTTGGGCGAGTCACCTGGCACCTTGGGCCTCTGGCTCTTCGTGCCCAACTTTGTACCACATGAGCCACCAGATTCCACCTAACTGTACAAGGTGCACAGAGATCCTGGCCCAGAAGGCAGTCCCGAGGCTGAATCCTGCAGGTCTATTTTGTTTGTCTCTCTTACTCAAAAACTATTTTGAGTTTACTATTTTGTTTGTCTCCTCTCTCTTACTCTAAAAAAAGGCTCCCCAGCAGGGGTCTCTGATCACCTGAATCAATGATTTGCTTGTTAAGGATTCTCCACAACTGAATTTGGTTTTTGATGGTTTTCATCACAAGTCAAAACTTCACAGACCTTGCTTTGATCTCAGGATGAGACTCCCTGAGAGATACTTAGTATTGTAGATACTAGAAACGGCAATGCCACCACATTCCCTTTCAAGAAAAAGGAACTAAATAACAAACATCATGCCAATAGGAACCTCAGTGCCAAGTGGGCTTGTCTCCCCTCCATCTCCTTTCAGGGCTCTGTGGCCCTCAGTAGCAGTGAATTTCCTACATTTGTTCCAGAGCTTCAAGGTCCTTAAGATTTACTCTATGAGCCAGAGTAAATCTTTCTTTCTCTAAGTTGCTTCTCTCAGTAGTATGTCATAGAACAAAAAGCTACCTAATACACTGTACAACAGAGTCTGACCTAGTCGTTAGGAGTGCTACGCTATTAACAGCAGACCAGCAGCGGCAACAACAACAATAATAATGATTACACGAAGGAGTGTGAAGCATGGGCCAGGCTGCATCCCAAGTACTTCATGTGCTCTGTATCTTACCATCTTTAGTGCCTTTATGAGAAGTACTTTTTTTTTTTAATCCATATTTAACATACCAGCAGCCAGGCTCAGAAAGGTTAGATGATTTGCTGAGGGTCACACTGGTGGGGAAAGTACGGTACCCCTTTATTTTCACAAATGTCCTGAAAGGATCAGGTGCTGTGCTGACATTTGCTGCTGTCTGTTCCTGCAAACCACGCTCTCCTTCTCCCTGCCTTGCTGCCTGTGGCCTGCTGAGGAAATGGCCCTCCTGACCTGGTCCCAGTTTCCTCACACTGAGCTTTTGGAAAGAAGCTTGTGTCAGTTATTTCCACTTCTGGCCCAAGCTCAAAAGCCTCTTGAATTTTAATCCAAGTGCAGAGTGCATTAGAGTCAAACTGACTCCTCAGAGGAGAAAATCTCACCCACTGCCCCGGGTGAAATGTCAGCACTCCTTTTGATCAGGAAGGATAAGCAAAGATTTGCCAGAACCGACGGTGTCATTTTAAAGCAAGACAAAGTCACAGCACAGGGTAAAACTGCTTGCCAACACAGCCTGACGTTGGGTGCAGAATCACTTAACTCCTTGTCTGTGGCGGGACGACTTGTGGAACCATTACGGATTTCTGGTCCTTCTCCCCTCCCACCCAGCAGAGAGGGTGGCTGGCCAGCACTTACTGGGGCTCAGAGAAGGCAGAGGCATTTAACAAGCAGGGAGCACCAAGACAACAAAGCTGCCTCCTCTAAGTCATTAGCACTGCATTCCAAACCCAAAGACTTTCACCTGCTGGCTCAGTCAGCTGACATTTACAGAGGATTCCCAGGACAGGATGAGAGTGGCACATTGTCCCTGCCCCCAAATAGCTTTCAGTCTAATCGAGATGGAGGCAAACACGCCACATGAAAATATTAGGCAGAAGGAGGAAAGGGCAATTTCAAAAAGTGTGTGTGCGTACGCACTGGACAAAAACTAGCAGGAAATGTACCACAGCGTTAGTGGTGGTATTGTTTATTGGGCTTATGGGTGACATTTATTCTCTTATTTAGTGTTTTATATATTCTTTGAGATTTTTTTTACAATGAACATTTACTGCTTTTATAATAAATTGTTTTTCCAGCTATGCATGGTGGCTCATGCCTGTATCCCAGCACTGAGGGGGGATGAGGCAGCAGAATTACAAGTGTGAGTCCCATCAGGGCAACTTAGCAAAACTCTGCCTCAAAATTTAAAAATATATTTTTTGCAAAACACTGAAACAACTGATAAAGTGGTTTGGCGCCAGGTTAAGACCATATGGAGTAACAGTGCATACCAGCCCTACAGTGAAGGGATGAGGGAGGCAACACCAAGGAAATCAGCAGTGAGAAATGGCCCTGGCTGCAGGGACAGAGGAAGGGCAGGAGGTGTCTGGGAAATGTGAGCAAGGACAGAGGTAATGGAAGGCTGGGGACCTCATTACCAAGCCAGAGAACGTGGCTGTTTACTCTCAGTGTTCCTGTGGCCCTTGGTGACACGTCACATTCCATTATACTGAGCTGCAGACATGACTATTCCTACTTAAATGTTTAGCTCTCCAAGGTCAGGGACCAAGGGTCATCCGTTCTGGAGCAACAGCACAAGCACATCACAGGAATGAACAAAACCTTCACCGAGAAAGTGATTTCCAACAGGGCTATTCATTTGTCTGTAGGTGACAAGGAGTCATCATGGATTTAGGGGTTTGTATGTGAAGACGGTCAGGTGCACTACGCTAGATGCAACTGTCTTCATGGATCCTATCCAAAGCCCTGCAAGCTGCGGTCCACACTCACCTGCACACGGTGCTCAGAAGTAATCAGAGGGGCCAGGGCACTCGGAACAGCTTGGAGGCCAGCGTCAGACAGAGAAGTACAGCGACTGGAGAGTGGGAAGGTGCAGAAGAGCACAGCCTACAGAGAAGGGAGGTGAGGAGCAGGACAGCGAGACATGGTGCTGTAACTCTGAGCCAACCAAGGATGTCTGTTATTCCTGACATCGCTCCAGGGACAGACACTACCACAGGGACTTGCCCTTTACCTAGAACAGCTCCAGCCTCCTGGAGGTAGGACTTACTTGTGGAAGGATCCCTCCACCCAGACTGTGACCAGTTCCCACCCATCCTCCTAGCCACTACATTTCATTCAAAGCCCTTGGGTGCGTCCATGAAAATCTTGACACAATTGACCCTGACCAGAAAAGTAAATCAGTTCTCAGTTCCAAAGAACACAGAAACAGAAGCAGTTTCTAGTCCCATCTCAACCACCGACAAAGCAAGCTTCAACTTCCTGCCCCTCTCTAAGCCTCACTTTTCATCTACCCATGGGCTGTTAAGACCCCTCCAGACTTGGTCTATGACTGTATGATCGCATGTCTTGGGCTCCTCCTTGGCATATGTGTGCCCATCATAATGGAATACATAACCCTGTGTAACAAGCCAACATCTCTTTCTGGCAGACCATGTCAGAGGGCTGGGCCTGTCTATTTCCTTCCCAGTAAGACTCTAGTGTTAGAGTCGAGTGCTGGCCAGGAAGTAGCACTCAGCATCTAGTGAACAGGCAGCTGGCCAGCTTCTGGCATGCTGTGTCCCTGAGGCCACTCCGTCTTCTCACAGTTTGAGATGTCAGTTCATGTCCTATTTATTTGCTCCTCCAGTCACTCTGGGAAAAACTCTCAGGTTCTCTGGCAACATGAAGAGGTCAGTCGAGGAAGTTTTGAAACTCGTTGTGTGTTTGCACCTGGAGTTCTTGACCACTTAGTTAAAAACTTGTCCACTCCTCCTCTGGCTCTGGGGGACAGAGAAATTAAGGCCTGCATAAGGGACAGCTGAGTGCCCGAGTGGGACTCAGCAACATCAGCAATGGTCCTTCCCCCTAACTTCAGCCCCACATTTCAGCTCAGGGTGAGAGGTTTTCTCCTTCACCATCCATAATTGGCAAAGATGAGCTCCAGGGCACTGAGATCCCAGGATGACCTCTACCAGGGTTTCCTATCCAGTGGCCCTTACTTCTCTTTGGGACCAAGAGTTCCACTAAGGCCAGTGCCCAGCATTCTGCAGCATCTCACTCAACACCAAGACAACAAGCTCCCACCTCACGGTGTCACATGATGTCCAGGGAAGGAAGAGACCGCCTTCCTTCAAAGACATTTACTTCCAGAAAATGAAAGCAAGGTGTTTCCACACCCATGTTCACTGCTAGGACAATAGGTAATATCAAATCTCCCCCAAAGCTGGCAGCTGAGGACTGAGACTGACTGCATACACAGCTGCTGCTCTCTGCTTCGTCTTTTCTCTCCATTCAATCAGGCCCATAGCTACTCCTAGCCCAGTGCACTGCAGCCCCTAGATATTTCTTGCCAGGCAACATTTAATTGCTTCTCCTCCACCCATAAGGCAAGATCATCCTGAGGTGGTCTCCCAGCACTCCTTTATTGACCTGCCTGAGATTGCAGTTCAAAAAATGCCTGGAACACACATACATGACGCAGTGAAGCCATTTGTGAGTCCTTACACAAACAGCTCACATGCTCTCCGCTCCTGCGGAGCCAGCCAGAAGAGGCGAGGACTCTGCTTCCATGGGCATTGTTAATGAAAGTTCCGCTTGCATAAGTTCGCAAAAAGTAGGACATGAGTCTGTGTTGTGTCTCCTCTCACAGCGCCCCATGATATCCCTCCATGAGATAACTGGCTGGCTATCCACTCAGTGCTCTTGGCACTGTGTGTGTTTGGAGTCTGCTGTTCTTATTCCAGCATGGTGGTGTGAAAGTGGGATAAAATGGTCCCCTTGGAAAAATGTATCAGAAGTGATGTGACTTAATTTAGGGGCATACAGAAGAGATTAACTTCTAAGACCTTGGTAGGTCCACCAATTTGTGTCAGCAATAGCACCAGACTTTCAGGGGCTGGAGCCAAATAGCTTGCTTGCACTCATGGAGCCACTATTAGGAGTTGGAGCTGTCAGTGTCAGGAAGACAGATCTTTTTCATAAGGGAAAAGGACTGAATGATGGAGGACTGATCAGGGGCAGGTGGAGATCTGCCTGGATATGGTAACCAACCATCTAGTTCAACAAAGGAAAGCCATGAGTTGTGACACATGACCTTAGGCTGTCATCTGCTGTTTTTCAAATGTTGCAGAAAATATCAGAGATCTTAAAGATCATTTATACAGTGGTGCTCAAACACCCTCATAGCACCTGAGGTAAAATTCCTAAGTTAGCTGACTCAACTGCATTTAGCCCTAGTTGTAGTATAAAAGAGAAAAAAGGAGCAACATTTAATACTATATCTGTCATATGTAAGTGCTCACTTGTGACTGCCCTGAAACACATTCTTGTATTCATAACGGACATGCTTAGATTTAGAAGAAGCCACTCCATAAAAAAACCAACCAAACAAACAAAAAACAACTACAAGGAAATAAAAGAGCAGTGAGGTAAGAGGGCTACAGAATTTTTAAATGTAATAATAAGAAATAACAAAATTGAAAGAATCAACAACTGGGATCTCATCCTACTGAAAAGTTTTTGCACATCTAAAGAAATCACCAGCAAAGTAAAAAGAAAACCCACAAACTTGGAAAAAATTTTAGCTGATTGTCCCTCAGACAAAAGCCTTCTTCTAGAACATATAAAGAATTAAAAAATTTCAGCCCCTCCAAATTCAAAGACCCAATCCAAAAATGGGCAGCGGAGATGAATACACACTTCTCAGACAAGGAGATACAAATGGCAAATAAATATATGAGAAAATGTTCAACATCATTAGTCATTCGAGAAATGCAAATTAAAACAACACTGAGATTCCACCTTACCCCAGTAAGAATGGCTAGCATTAAGAAATCAACCAATAACAAATGCTGGTGAGGCTGTGGAGAAATAGGAACCCTTCTCCACTGCTGGTGGGAATGCAGCCTGGTGAAACCACTGTGGAAATCAGTTTGGAGATTCCTCAGAAAACCAGGCCTAGAGGTCCCATTCAACCCAGCTATCCCCCTGCTCGGTATTTTCCCAGAAGATCTAAAAACATCATATCACAGTGATGTATGTGCACCCATGTTCATAGCAGCACAATTTGTAATTGCTAAAATGTGGAAGCAACCCAAATGTCCATCCACCGAGGATTGGATAAGAAAATTGTGGTACTTTTATATAATGGAATATTACTCAGCTGTAAAGAAAGATAAACTCGAGGCTTTTATAGGCAAATGGTCACAACTAGAGACCATACTCATAAGTGAAATAAATCAAACATACATGTGCAAGCACCGCATTGTTTCTCTAGTGTAAAGCCTGAAAGAGTTAATTTAATCTAGGAGATATGATAGACATTGAGAAGTGATAGGAAAGAACTCATAGGTAAAGGATAACTGGGATATGGGAAAAGAGAAGGGAAAGAAGGAGAAAGTTTGTATATACGTATATGCAGGATAGTTAACACGGGTGTTCTACTGTCCTGTATTTCCTTGCTGAAAGAAACTGTCAGTGAGACATTGGTTGATTAGCTTTGTATGTCTATATGTGTTTTCATGAGAAACTACATTGAAGATATCAATATGTAATACAATAAGCATTGTTAATTCCCTACCACTCTGTTTGTAACTCTGTAATGTCTGTACTGATCCTATGCTATTTTGTAAAATGTTGTCGGTCTGTTAGTATTTTCCTCCTTTAATTTCTAAAATAAAAAAAAATTTTTTAAAAAAGAAAAAAAAAAAAAAGAAATAACAAAATCACCTTCCTGTCTGTGTATGACAAGATGAAGAAGGAAGTCACCTTCCTGAGTCACAGAGAAGGCAAATTCAACTACAAAAGTCCAAGTACAGAAATAAAGGAAATACATTATTATTGCAAATGAGTCAAGCCTTATAGTCAAAGGTAGCGTCACAGTATTTCATTATGCTGTAATATGGGTGAGGATAGTGACATAGTATCACGGTGAACAGATCTCCAGTCTAGGAAGCCCACTCATATTGCTGAGGTACAACTCCATCTCTAGAATTAAAGAAAACCTTGCAAATGTTATCCTTTTAATGTGGGTAGTGCAGTGAGCAGGGAGAATTAGAAAAAACTGCTTGGCAGAACCAGAGGAGAAGATTAAAGAGAAAAAAAAAAGGAACCCTAAAGTAAATATTTATAATACCTAATTTTTGCAAGACATGTCTTATCATTGTACTGCAAACACAGATAATAAGAACATGAACTGTTTTAAAAGCAGCTCCTATAGAGAAGCTGATCACAATGGTGATAGGTCCTGTGCCTCTGTTGGTTTGACACTGTTCAGCTTTGGGCTGGGGATATAGCTCAGTGGCAGAAGTGACTTGACTGCCTGGCAAGTGCAAGGTCCTGAGTTTGATTCCCGGTACAAAAAAACCATGACACTGTTCAGTTCCGTGTCTGTCCGACAGTCTCCTGTCAACCAACACAGTTTTGCATGTGGTTCTGTTTTCACACTGACTGTAATGCATGTGGTCCTTTTTTGTTTGAAGTATGTTTGGGAATGATATAATCTAGATAAAAAGCATGACGTGGGGAAATTATCTTAGTATTGCAAGTCTTGGTCTTTATTCCATTTAAGCTTCTCTTCCCAAAACAACTTTTACTGGGCTTCTCTCATAATTTTGTTGAAAATTTATGAAATATTCCACTAGAGGGCAGTCCTGGCCTCATTAGGAAAACTGATCGAATCCAACTTTGTCCCTTTTTCTGAGAAATCCGGCCCAAAAGTATCTGCTCCCTTTTTGTCACTAGCTCCTTGAGGATAAGAAGTATATGGAATACTCTACCATAAAGAAGGATAAACTTGGGTCATCTACAGGAAAAGGGATGCACCTTGAGACCTCAACATTAAGTGAAATAAAGCAGTTACACAAGTTTACACATGGTTTCTCTTATATGAGAAATGCAAAGTATAA